TTTTTTTTTTTTTTGTTTTTTTTTGTGGTATGAGGCTTTCATGTTTTGTGTCTCATTCTCTCTCCACCTTGTGTTGGATTTGATAGGGATATCATGGGGATTAGTCGGGTGATATTCTTGAGTTAGGATGTTGATCTTTTGATCTGAGATAGGGATATAGGGCCTTCCATTTATGAAGCCTGTTGAGGTTGCGATGCTTTGTGTAAGGAGACCGCCAGGTTCTTTCGCTTGCTCGGAGGGCCTGACTATTCAAGCGGGGCTATACATGTAGTACCTACAGCCAAAAACTGAGTTGGAATATCCGCACCCCAGAGAAGAACTATTCCAGAATAAGCAAGAGAGGCCAGTTTGTGACATTATCAAAATCATGGCAACTGGCCCGTGGCACAAGCGAGCCGTTTTCGTGGATGTACCGGGGCAAGCCTGGTACGAGCCAGGCCGTGTCTGAAATGGGTTGGCCATCTCAGATGTGGCCAGAAAACATTGGGTCCCTCATACATCCCCCAAAAAATCTCAGAAAGACAAGGACCAGTACCATGAAGGCCCAGCAAACAAACCTACAACTTTAAAACTACTACCCAGCCCAGGCCCGAAGATGTAAGCTCGATCTACCTTCAACCCTGAAATCCCTTATCCGTGATCAGGCACCCGCTCAGAATGACCACCATGGATACCGGTGATCATACTAGGGACCCTACCTATATAGTCCGCATAATTATCGTCCCCCTTAAGTAGATAGAATATGGCTTTGGGTATATTGTAATAAGACCCCCATATACTCCATATTCTATTAAGGGGGGCTATATCCTGTACTGGTCTTCGTGGTTAGTGGACCTAACTTCGTCCCCTTGACGTGCGGCAGCAACAAAGCTCTGCCTCGGCAGGCCGAGCTTGCCATCCCCTCTTACCTGGTTATAAGTTATGGGAGCTATGGTCTAAACTCCTTAAAGGGGGGTTTATACAAGGGACTACTATAGGGGTTATTAAGAGGGATACTAGGAGTCTAGACTGTAGCTTTTATAGGTTTCTTCCTGGGTTATCTACTGGGTTTAGGGGTAGCACAGTGGAGAATCACATGCAGACTGTTATGGACACCAGGAGTATGAAGGGTCAACTGAAACTGGCTCATCCTACCTTTGCCTCAGGCCAGATTGTAGACGAAACCATCATGCAAAACGAAACGCTCCTGGTCTGCAGAGGGCGCAGCGCTTGAGACTTTGGATTTAGAGGGCATGTCTGTCTATGGTCAGCAATTATGGTAGTTTTTTTTTGCTTTCAACTCTCTTCTGTGTTTCGCGCAGTAAGGCCCAACATACCCTCCAGATTATGAATAGGCAAGAAGCACTTGAGCGGGACCATAAGGAACTGTGAGAAACCCACTTCGAGTTCTCTGCAGCGAGGCTAGAAGAACACGTTTCAGGCAGTTGACGCCGTTTGTGTAGCTCCTGAAATGAGGGCCGCATGGAAGAATGACGTGCCACATGTCTTTCCAAGATGGGGTCTTGAAACTATCTTGAGGAGGAAGACATGTTCATGCATGTTTGGAGTACTCGACTACAAGCAGTGGCAGTTGCAAATTTGAAGGGCCTCAAAGGGTATCCCCAAATATGGGTATTCCGCTGGATATCTCAAGTCAATTTTGAATCCAGTGTTGAGCCAGTGGCCGGCAGGTTTTGGTCCCGTACGGAAGACAGGCCCTGCGTGGGATATGGTCCATGCGCTTTACTTTTCCTTACAATGTGGCCCTAAACCCCAGAAACCGTAGAAAGAGTAGGAAACCTAAGCCTCCTTAGGTAACGACAGCCCTTGACACATCTAAACCTAATGGTCTATTTAGTACACAACTGCTTTTTTGCGCGTACATTGATGTACACAACCCTAAATAGTAGTTTCCATTTTCTTTTCCACTATCCATATATAACCCCTATAAAACCCAATATACCAATATGTAACCTTTGAAAAGTATAACGGGTTAAGCTGGTAGAGCCGAGGCTCGCAAATGTCACGCTCGACAAGCTCGACGACAGTGTAAAGAACTGGTTAAACGTGTTGGGCCCAGATGTGTGCGTGACAGACTGCAACCATTCTTTCAGGGTCCTGGTTGCTGACGTAGAAGTCGGAAGTATCATGATGAGAGTATTATTTCTGCCCGTGTAACCCTTCTAGAATTATTGTTGTCTGAAAGAGAATCAAACCCTTGCTGCGGTATTTAGATCCTTCATTTTCTGATTTCTGAAGCTCATGCCGTGCTGGCCTCAGAGTCTTTTTTTTGACTGCAGCTGATTCAGCTTGCAGAGTCTGCAAAGCCGTGGATCATGGTAAGATGCAACATGTACATGATGGGCCAACATGTAGGTGTGCGTGTGATAGAGGAGACTGCAGATAGGCATACCCATTCCCAGAGAGTGGGGCCCTTGACATACGGACATGATCAAATCTACCACGCACCCACATGTTGGCATGTACTCGATGTGGCAGCTGGATGGGCCGAGGATCAGAACACCCAGACCCTGAACGGAGCCTTGGCCTTCGTGCCCTTTATCCTGCAGCAGGCTCTTTCGGGCATTGCTTCACAGAAGGGGCCAAAAGGCTGAGTATGAGAATTTTTGATTTTTTTTGTGCTGTATTGGCAAGAAGGTCCCTCAGTACTTCATGGCGTGGACGTGATGTTGTGGTGTTTTAAACCTGGCAGGGAATAGGATTAGGAGGGTGCTCGAGTCAGTACGCTTATGCAAGCACACCTTGGTATTGATGCCCAGCATGGAAATCTATACTTGTGCACCTGGGATTATCTTAAAGGAGGACGGCTTCGAGATTCAGGGTGTAGAGTTCAGGTCTTAGAGTTTGGGGTGGTGGTGCCAGCCCCATAGGATGGCCTTGAAATTTTGCCAGTTAAGATATGTGGAGGGGCTGGGGGCGTCGTGCAACAAGGGCCATGATGTTTTGATGGTGTAGAAGGGTACCCCAAGATCCGAACTCCCAGACAAATATGGGCTCCAAGGCCATGGGTAATCAAAGTTATTGGTGGCGGCCAAGCCGCATTCTAACACTTCAGGTTCACATGTCGCAAGAAGCCGACCGCTTACTGATCATACGGCCATGCTTTTTAAGAGCGTCTTTTTTCGGGCAGGCACAGGAAGAACACAATACGAACGGCAGGGGTGAAACACACATCATTCAAAGTGTGTGCGGGATTGTTGTGGCATGAATTTGCGTTGGACTGTGACTTAGGGGGACCAGTATAATCAATGCTCAACCAAGACTGCTCGACCCTGAGCCTTCAAGACCCGATGGGCCAGGCTTTCTTTGAAGGGAACCTGGACGAAAAGCAGATCGTTATTCACAAAGGATCGGGAGGTTTGGCCCTCAGCTTAAGCCTGTAAAGAGATTCATTGAACCCCTTGAGTAGTGCTTTGCAAGCACTAGTACAAGGAATAGGTTCTTCCTCGTTTCTCGTTACTTGGTGCCCAGATGTGCTCTACCGTTGAGTACGATAGTGTTGCTGAAAGTGTTGGAAGGGTTAAAGAGGTCATTCCACCAGAAGGCTCAAAGGCCGTAGCTTTGTGGCGCGTATGCTGTGCAGAGGCACTGCTGCGGTTAGCAGTCTCAGTGATGAGTTCACCTTTCAGCGGGTTTTGGGCACAGCCCTCTACACAAAAACAACAAAGTTTGATATCAGTATTCCCATGTCGCTCCGAGTGTCCTGTCTATCCAGAGCCCAATCTCATGTTATGATTAGGACTCCAGTTTACAATCCACGAGGCCAACGAAGCTGTTTCCACAAATGGCAGGTTCCCTTTTCGACACCCCCAAATAGTATAGCAACTTATTGTTGGTGCTACTACGAAGGGACTCCTCACTTTTTTTGGAAACCCCAAGTCGTCCAAGGTGTTGTCTTTTCAGATGCCAGTGGTTTCACTGCCCTCACTGAAAAGTTAGCCAAGAAGAGCAACGGTCGGGAGCTTAGCAAATTGAATCTTGCTGCAGGCCTTGTAAATTTTCTGAACGTGCTCAGTACTTCCTGTGCTACTGCAGCTCTGAGAAAGCGTTTTAAGCCACGAGCCTTGATCTAAACCCCAAACCCAGTCAAAATTTAATAGCCGAACCCCTAAACCCACATGTCACAATTGCAGCAATCGTTTTAAAGGCTATCTTAGAATCTGTGTAGCCCTTGAGGAGTTCATCTTAGACTTTACTGCATTTTCCGGAAATAGTAAGTACGATAGAAATAGCAACAGGCGTAGTACTGCCACCGGTAATGGTATTTGTAAGATGATGGGCATCGTAGGGTTCATTTTGGGTCTATTTCGGCAGCTGCTCAGAGGATGGGTCTCCCCAGAAATGACAATGTCGAACCCCATGCTATGCACATATAGTCCCCCTTAAGTAGATAGAATATGGCTTTGGGTATATACTATTAAGATCCCCAATCCCCATCTCCCCCATATTCTATCCACGTAAGGAGGACTACAATTCGACTTAACCCCCTCATCGCCCCTGAGGCCCAAAGCGCTAAATCCTAGACTTGTAGCCCCTAAGTCGGCATGCGAAAGCCCTCATCGTGAAGCTTTGAGACCAAAACTTCAATCCAAACGTTAAGCCTGCAACCCTGACGTCAAAGCAGGTGAACCTGTAAACTGTACAAACTGGATCTCCAAAGGGAGGAAACCGCTTAAAGCTCAAGGTTGATATCCTGAGCTCATATCCCAGTAGGCTGTTTCTCAAGAGAACCGCGGCAAAATCCTGATTAGGAATCGGCACAGTTGCTTTTTCCAGCCTCTGTATGCCGAGTGTCTCCAAGCGCCAGCGCAGTTATGACAAATCCGCAAGATGGGGTCACCCAAGAGGAGTTGCCCTGGGCACTAAAACCTAAACCCCAAACCCCAACTCCTGTGTACCAACAGTTCTTTTGCCTTTTTTAGCACCAGGAGCTGAGCTCCTCTCTCAGTGCCTGACGGCTTGGCACCCAACTTCTTAGCTGAACATGTGGGGTTTCCTGCATGTTTGGTTTCAAGTTGAGGGGCTTAGATTAGGGGGCCTTGGGGTGTTGGGGTTGAGGCTGTGGGGAGGCTCTGGCTGAGGGCATGAGTTCTGCAGTCTATGTGTTCTGGCCCACGTCATAGCGCCAATGGCCTTGTTTGGCTCTTTCTGCTAGTTACTAGTTTTATAGTAGAGATGAGCAGGACGACTTGTTTCGGGCTTGTGGTGTAAGGCTCACTGGGCTTGTGGCTGACTCTGTGGCTTCGAGTGTCGCGATTGGTGACGCGTGGGAGCTGCTTCCGAATCTCACCGCGTGTTTTGTTTTCTACAGCTTGACGGCATTTGTGAAGGGTCTGATATCATTATATGAGGGTTCAAGGTTCAACCAGCTGTGACAGCGTGCAGCTAGAGGCTGCAGCCACTGCGAGGACAAGAATTTTTACAGGCCTTTTCATCTGGGCCTCAGCGATTGGGAATTCGCAAGATGTTCCAGACACTCCACGGAGTTCAAGATGCAAACCAAAAGCGCTTTGGAAGTTTGAAATGGCATGGATCGTTCTAGGGGATTGATGACATTTGAAGAGGCACAACGCAAGACCCTTGATCATTTTCAGCAAAGACCTCTTCGCCTCCCTCCAAGTTCCCGACTCCTGAGGCCTTCTTCACACCGCTGATAGATCTTATCAATGCCTATCGCGGAGACACCATCAAGTTCAGTGGAGATGCACTGAAACTTGGCTTATACAGCTTAGAATGTCCATGCCACATGTTGCCGATGCACTCCGAGAGTCACCAGATAGCCTTTGGGAGCTTGGGTAGCTAGAAATCTTTGTGAGTTCAAGAGCTTGTGCAAGGACCATCTACTTCCCGTCCGTGGATGACACCAAGACTTCCAGCTTCAACGGACACATGACAGCAGCAAAGGTTTGCTAGGTGGTTCGGGATTTTGTTGAAACCTCTGCCCCTTCCATGTTCATCTTGTTTGTTTCTCCTTGAGGCAAATGATAGCAGGTGCTGGAATAACCGAGTACTTATCCTAGAGTAACCTCAGTAACGTTACGGAACGTCGTCAATGTGGTGCTAGTAGTTTTTCGAAGACAAACATTCGGGATACGAGCCCTTTGCAACTTAAGCCCAAGCTCTCTGCCCTACGCCTTCAACTCTTAGCTGGGACAGAGTTTCTTCAGCTCTAGGCTAGGTCAGGGCTCACGCTATGGCTTCGGGTTTAGGGCTAATTGCGAAACTGTGACGTTCAGGGTGTAGATACAGAATCACTCCCTTGTGTATCCGGTCATCGTTGTCAACTACTTTTAGCAGGCTGGAGAATGCGCCTGTGCCTGTGCCGCTTTTGCAAATCTTGCTTTCGCTGGAACCCCTGAGTCCAATCAATTACCGTCCCAGACCCACGCCAAAAAATCAGACATTGGCCATAGGAAAGAGAACGCCCGGGACTGAAGTTTGCAAGTTTTATCCCCGAACCCAGCCTAATCTCGAATCTAACGACTCAACGCCCAAACAAGCCGCACACTCTCCACCGTAAGCCCTTAGCCCTAATCTCTGAAACCTAAACCACGAACCCCACAATTTAAAGATTAAATTCCACCCCCAAACCTCCACCCAAGAAGCCTTTTCTAGCCTTGCACAACCGTTATTCATTCCTATGTATCCCTATACATCCCGTTACACCCCTCAATATCCCGACTATGCTACTGTATAGCACAATGCAACCCCCAAGGTATTGTGCCGCCGCACGGAAGCTTTGGTCTAGCGGACCTTGGCCGACAGCCCAGGATTTGCCAAAGACACATATGGGGTAGTGACCCATATTTAGGGAACCATGGGGGGTCAGGCTCTTCGGTTTTTTTTACAGGATCTATCAGGGTATGTAATACAGGGACTTATAGGGAAATATATTGGAATATGTAGGCATTGTACGGATGTACGCTGTTCTGAACTGGGGGGGGTTTGGTTTGCAGGTCCTGGGGGTTTAGCAGTTTGAAGCTCTTAAGCTTCAGGATTTAGGGTTTCTGAGATTCATGGTTGAGGGTTCAGGGTTCAGGGTTATGATGTTAGGTTTGGGGTTAGAAGTTTTGGGTTTAGAGTGCAGGGTGATGGTCTAGCTTGAGGTTCTAGGGTTTTCAGTTTACAGTTGAATAGGTAAGGTTGAGTGCACCTGGTGTGGGAGATTTAGGTTTTAGGGTTGCGGATCTATTGTATAGGTCTGAGCATTTAGGGAGTTTGGAAGGCCGGGTTTAGGCTGAAGGATTTCTTTGCATCAGGGTCAAGGTTTCAGTCTAAGAGGTTTCGGGTTGCGGGTTAAGGGTTCCGGTCTGGGGTAAAGGTCGAGAGTTGGGGTGCAGGCTTAAGGGCTTTGGTTTCACGATGTAGGCTTTGCGGAAGAGAGTCTAGGGCTTGGAGTGGAGAGCGTTGGGTTCAGGAGTTGGCGTTTAATGCGTAGGGTTCATCATTCAGTGTACTTAGGCTTGGGTTTTTAGGGTCTACCTAGACTTGTTTCGGGACTCTGCAGGGCATATGGGGACGTGAAAGGCCTCTGGCTGAATTGAGGTTGGTGTTCAATGTGTAGGCATTGGTTCAGACTTGAGGGCTTAAGGTTTAGTGTTCAGGATTTTGAGTTCGTTGTTCCAGGTATTCAGAGGAAGGCGGGTATCCAGACTCAGATGCGAAAAGTCCGTCTTCAGGGCTGTGCATTTGAGGAAGCATGTCGGAGATGGGTTCTGCAGATGCAGGGTTCCGAGCACTGTCAACTGGACACGTTGGCACAGCCTTTGAGAGTAGGCGCAGAATCATGTTTACCCAAAACCTTGTCAATAAATCCTAAACTCGATCCTCTCAACCCTATTCAGAACCCTAAATCCTAAAGCACTTAAATCCCTCACTCTTATTCTGACCATGTAGGCCTGTAGGCTCCCAGCTCAACTTGTGCTCAGCTCGCTTTCCCCAGGTCCCATGGCGACGGCAGTGCTGCGGGCGTCAGGGCCTGTGGCCGTGTGGTCATGGCTTAGTGGGATTTGTTTTTCAGGTTTAGGGACTGGGGTTTGGAGTTTAGGGTTTAGGGATTGGGGTGAAGGGTTTGCAATTTTGGGTTGAGACATGGAGCAAGTGATCTATCCGCTTAGTCTAGACTCATTGTTGTGTGCTTCTGTGCTCCGGAAGGGACCCCGAAACCCTAGCCATGAGGAGGATTGCTCTGTCCTAATAGGGATCCTAATGTTAAGGCCCTCAAAAGGAGAGGGTTTATTAATCATGGGTTTACATAGATGTAGGCGCCGGAATGCTTGCCAACATTATGCCCCAACCCTCGCAATCCCAGAGCCCCCGTGACCTTCCTGTATGGACCCTTCATAATTAGAGGGGGTAGGCTTTGCCTCAGGCCCAAGAAGACCTTCAGTTTTAGGATTTCAGATGGTAAGGAATTGACACATGTAGTCTTAACAGCTAAAGGCTTTCGTGGTCTAACGTAGCTTTGGCCTGTATTGAATCCAGCACTTTAAGTTTGTACCCTTAACGTTTGTAACCTTAGGTTTTGGGTCTCAAGTACCCTTATACTTATTAAGGGCCAGATTCCATGGGTTTTTGGACCCAAGCCCAAGGGTACAAAGGAGAACCAATTGATTGAGCTTCAATGGAACCACGCTTGATGTTTGTAATAATGTGCCTATGACCTCAAAGCCGTAAGCCTGAAGATGTAGAAGTCGTAAGCCTGGCTAGTAAGCCCCGTCAAGGTGTAGGCGCATGCTTGTCACATATGAGCCTTCGGGTAGAAGCCTTTATAGTTGCCAAAATCAGTCCCTCGCCATCCTTGTATAACTCCAGTATCAGCTTTGTGTAACCCGAAACCCTAAACTATAATGCAATCCTCATATAAGTATTAAACGGGCACCTACATTTCCAAATGGGGCCTTGTCCTGCATGCAAGCGGCCCATCCTTTCCTCCCTACCTGAAGACTTGAATGGGGTAAAGGTTGGAGTTTGGGGATAAGCAGTTGTCTTGATTTTCAATCATGGGGAAAGCCCAGCAATCCCTAACCCATAGACGCCAAATCCCTACCCTAAACCCTAAACCCTAAACTCCAAATTTTAGATCCCAAACCCCAAAGCTTGATCGCTGAACCTTTAGCCCCTAACCTTGATCCATAGACCCTGAACCCTCAATGCCCCAAACCCTCACCTTGGTCCAGTACACCCCAGGCACCTACAGCTCCCAAGCCTTCTGAGTTAAACTGAAATCCAATGAGGAGCATAAAGCTATCATTCCACATGGTAGCTTCCATAGAGACGAGCCACCAACATAGACCCAGTATATCATGATCCTTATGATGTTGAGTCCTAAAAAGGACTTCCGAAGTTTCAGAAACCCCTCAACCCTAAACCCTGAACCCCAAAACCCTAAACCCTAAAACCCTAAACCCTTAACCCCTAACCCCCTAAACCCCTAAACTCTAAACCACTTGCCTATATAACACATTTTAGTAGTTTCCATTTTCTTTTCCATTATCCCTCTATTACCCCTACATAACCCTATGCAATATGACAGTTTCCATTTTCTTTCCATTATCCCAATAAAGCCCCTATGTAACCCCTATATATTCCCTGGTTTCCGTTTCATTTTCCATCTTCTTTTCCGTTTGATTCTCCATCATAGTAGTTTCCGTTTTATAGCCCCCGAAAGAATCCTATATAACTCCCATATAATCCCTATAACCCCTATAGTTTCCATTTTCTTTCCATTATCCCTATATATATATACCCCAATATAAACCCTATAGCCCCGAAAGAAGCCAGAATGAGCTTAGGTCGGCCTGCTGCATCGAGATCCACAAGCGGCTGCATATGTTTGAGACAGGCAGCCTGCTGTGCTTCCGCCTTGGGGGGCTGTTAGGGGCTTCGGGGTGTTCTAGGGATTCCAAGGATTTTGGGGGGTGTTAGGGCTTAGGAGTGCTTTAGGGATTCGTGCTAGGGTTGAGGGTGTTCCAGGGGTTCTATGGTCTAAGTGTCACTAGAAGTCTGCCCTGGTGATGGACGCAGCATCCAGAGCCGGGAGAGTTATCAGACCCTAAGCCCTAGACCGTTGAACCGCTAAGTCGTGTATCACTTTTTTACCCAGCCACTCAGGATTTCAAGGTGTATTTTTCGGGAGCGCGGATCAAGATGTTTGTTATCCTGGTTGTTCATACTGACTGCTTACATGCCTGTCCTTGGCAGAAGTGGTTTGACTTCATACAAATCGGTTGAAGGCATAGGCGAAACCCAATCTGTTCCGGTTTGTCGCTGCCTGAAACTGCAAACCCTAAACCCTGTATAGTAAAACCTAAGCACTGGATTACAAATCCCCTGGATTACAAATCATAGCCTACAGACCCTAAATAATAAGCCATAGATCACAGCGGTAAACTCCAAAACCTTAAGGGTTCTTGGTAGGGCAGAAAGGAATGTATTATATAAGGATTATGTAGGGCTTGTACACCTTAGTTCCCTTCTAGGACCAGTAAGAAACGTTGCGCAGGCGTTGATGATGTGCGGCTCTGCTTGCACATCGGTGTGGGATGCGGTGAAATCAGCATCCTCCAGGCAGGAGTCCCCAAGTTTCCCTAGGTCCTTTGAACAAGGGTTAGGGTTTAGGGTTTAGGGGTTCAGGATATTACCCTAATACTGGAGAACCACGTTGACAAGACTATGGAAACTAGGATCATGGGTTTAGGGCTTGGGATTGTGGTTTCGGGGAATGACGGAGTGGACAAGAAAATGGAGACTATTGTCTTATTATTGGGGCTTACGTTGCCAAGGTTTCTCAATGGCTTGTTGTGCAGGGAGAAAGTGTTCTTTGTTTTTCTCCAGTGATCCAGTTACCGGCCCAGCATGAAGCCTTGAACCCCAGAGTCCCGCAGGTGCCAGAACTATCATTCGTGATTATTGTTCATGCTTGTGCCGCACTTGTCGGAATGCATTCTTGCATAACTTTTTGGATGGCTGTTTAACCCGTTGTTTTTCTTCTGACTTCTTATGTGATGCCCCCACATAGAATAGTGGAAGGAGGAATCTAGCGGGATCCTCATGGAATTGCCAGTATGCCTTGTGGTCACTATGACTGTCTGTGGGGAAGGCCGATTATTCGACACCAAGCCCTTCACCCTAAGCCCTCAGCTCCAAGCCCTAAACCCTGAACCCTACTCTAACCCTAAATCCCTAAACCTTAAGCCCTAAACCTAAACCCTAAATAGTAGTTTCCCCTTCAATACCCCAATATGTTACAGTAACACTAAGAACTGTAAAAGCAAGAACTCTAATTCCTAGTTTTGTTGTCCTCAGGTTGGCGGCATTGTGCCCCCAGAGACTCACATCCCAAGGCGCCGGGATAGGTTGTGCGGTTGTGTTGCAAACTTATGGGCTTTGTATAAGGCACTTGGATTGCTATAAGGTTAAAATATTTGCATCATAGAGTTGGGTTAGTGCTTAAGGACCAGGGTTTAGAGGTTTTCTCGAAGTTACGCATCCACGTCTGTGGGTCCTTGTAACATTGGCTTTCCTCGTATGTATGTATACTGGCGAGTGCACTTTGCCAAGCACCTTCTCAGTTTTCCCAAAGACGTCAGGTTTCCTAAGCTGCGAAACCTCAAGCTCTAAATCCCCCAAAATGTAGAACCTTTACTCAGCAGCAACTTCAAGACATGAATAGTAACGTGAAGCTGGCATTGGGACTCCTGTCCCTACGCCCTAGCTAGACATGCGAACCTGAATACTTGTTCTTCTTCCGTCAGATTCCAGCAGAATCATGCCATAGACTTACCCAACATTTTCTTCAGCTGCCAGGGGCCCCCTGATTCACTTCACACTCTCTACTATCCCCAGCGTCCGACGATTATTCCACAGAAGCTCCTTTTGGGAGCTCCGCACTCTGACTCAGGATAGAGTATCTGATTTCTGGGGCACCGCTGGAGCAGATTTCCATCGCCCGGAGCTTGGTGCAGAACCTGTGTATTCCCTTTAAGGGCTTCGTGGGGCCTTCTAGTTTATAGAGCTTGAGTTGGGGGAATCTTATTGGGGTTCCGTATTTTGGGGTACGTGCAATCAGGATGGTACACTCATCCGATTCAGGGGCTGTATACGAAACTTGCTGTGCCCCCCGATGACAGAGAAGGACAGGCAGACGCCATCGCAGGAGGCAACGGCGGCAGAAGCGGCAGCAGTGCAGCAGCGGCAGCAGTACAGCAGCGGCACAAGGAAACTGGATACAAGGAAGGTGTAGTGGCGCCTGCGCATTCTCACAATGAGGCATAATCCTGTCCTTTGCAAGCTTGGTACCAATAATGTTCAGACATCCTGAACCTTTACAGAAGTCTCCCCGTATTGGCCACCTGTATGATCGTCAGTAGCTCTGCTTTCAATTACCATGCACCTTCAGGTACAAGAGCGCCAAACTCTATCCCTTTCCCTTAACTTTGGACCTTTGACCCCATACCCGGCGCCCGAACCGAGTACAAGAGCCCTTCATTCCGAAGGCGGAGCCTCTGGCAAAGAACGGCGAGACATGCTTGAGCCCACAGGCGGGCTTGCGTGCACCTGTGAAGGATTGTAGTCCCCCTTAAATAGACAGAATCTGGGGTATATGGGGCTCTTATTAATAATATACCCAAAGCCATATTCTATCTACTTAAGGGGGACTATAAGTCTTTCATGGATGAGGGCTTAGGGTGTCAGGCTGTGCTTTTGCTGAGCCCACCAACACCATGGCTGCGGATGTTGCAAACTGAAAGGGTTTAGGGTTTAGGGACCCTGAAGCCCTGATCCCAAACCCGGATGCTTCGTGCAGATAGAAAATTGGCTTCATGAACACAAACCGAACCCAACGCAAAGCCGCAAATCCCAAGCCCCAAGCTCCAGATGCCCGGACCTTGAAGCGTTGGTCCTACCCTGAACCTTAAGCCCTAAAGCCTCCCCCTATATGTCCTTCTTCTAGGGGTTGGGCTTATCAGCACTTTCATATTGCCGTATGACCCCAGTTTCCATGTCATTTCCCTTTTGATTTTCCATTATGGGGATACTGTCAATTTTCTTTTCCGTTTTCCCTTAGAAGCCCTAAACCCTAAACCCTAAACCCTAAACCCTGCAACCGTAAATCCGGTTGCAGGCTTGGGAGCTGGTCAAGGACTGTGTCATCGAGGGCCGACCGCTGGAGGCTCAACGGGTTTGGGGTTTAAGGTCTAGGGTTCGAGGATGTTCGAGGTTTATGGCTTAGGACTCGTTTTTGGAGACTGCATAAACGGGCTTGTTCCTCTTGTTGGTCGCTGGTAAAAGTACACCCCTAATACTTAGGGCACCCAAGAAGAGCCAGAATCTTGACATTAAAAGGGGTCATAAATTTGTACAGCAGGTACAGAGATGCGCGGTTGTATTATGGTAGCTTCCCGCCACTATAGAACGGAGCTGGTGCTTTTAACAGCATTCTGGCAAGCCCAACCCCCACAACCAGGACCCTATGACTATCGTTTTGCTCTTAGAGGGTCCGATTCTTTTAGGGCCAGTTACCGAAATCCGCTTATCAAGTGCGACCCTGATCACCACTGGCGTTTTACAATGCCTGTCCGCTGTTTGTCCCGCACATGCGGGGAGGACGCATCACTGCAACAAAAGTGTAGGCAAACTAAAGCCGAATCACCTGCTCCAAAGAATGCTGCCACGCCCCGAAGATGGTCCCACCATTGTATAATGTGTTATACGCGGAACATGCCCTTTTGTCACAAGAGGTTTGATGATTAGGGAAAAGGGATTAATCAGGATGCCCACATGAGCTGCTTTGTGGACTGCAGCATACGCAGGTTCATGTGTCTCAGAAACCTAGAGGCCCCTTATTCAGGTAGGGGTCCCTGAATAAGGATCATGGTATGGGGTATTTTAGGCGCTATATTGGTGTCCCTTTGTTTTTGGAAGCTACCATGTATCTCAGAATCTAGGTGCTGGTAGTGGCAGATGGTGCATGGTGCGCATTAGGTTTGCAGAATCCTGATGGTTCGATAGGAATTATTTGATTACATACGGACTTTGGCTGATACTACTAGTAATAATAGTAATCATAGTACTAATAGTACGCCTAATCTTGCAGATCCCTTTCTTCGCTCTCATGGCCTCGATTTCCGCTGGACCTCGGGAGGGCGAAGTGCAGCTGCAGGTGGCCCTGCTCAGTGGCCTGAAAACCCAACTGCAAGTGAAGCTCGAGACGACCCTGAAGGAGGTGTCTACTTCTCAAACTAACAGTGCCCCTAAGGTAGGATCCTCAAGAAAAGCAAGTCCTTGTGTCTTGAAATGTCCCCCCAGATTCAGGTGAAGGAAGCAGCGGAGAATGCCCTCGAAGTTGGCATCAAGCACTTAGTCAGCGAGGATGGACATGTGATAGATGATGAGGAGATGCAAAAGACGGTTGATGCGATTAAGTTGCGGCCAGGCGAGACACTGCAGGCTGTGGCCGGCTACCGCATAAAGATCAGGCACGAGGCCCAAAGTTTGGCGGACAGGATAACAGCTTTCAATCGCAGAGACTTCAGGGGCATCGTGAATATGTTGGCAGATATGGAGCTGCAACATGTTGAGGAGCTGACATGCGTTCTTCATGTCATTTTCAGCAAGGCTCTGTCAGAACCTGCCCACAATGAAAGCTACGCGCACTTGGTCGCCGCCTTGCAAGTCCGCCACCCAAGGTTGCCCCTTGAACCTGAAAGCCAGACGTCTTTGAGTTTTACTCGTGTGCTGCTGGGGATCTGTCAGCAGGAGTTTGAAAACATGCCGGCTTTAGATCCATCATCGCAAGACAGGGCAAGGTTCTCAAGCTCTGAGGCGTTGCAACAGGAGTTGATAAGGAGGAAGCATAGGATGCTGGCATGCGTGAGCTTCTTGGGCCACCTCTTCTTGAGGCGTTTGTTAGCCCTCAAGGTGATCGGGCAGATTGCGCATGACTTCATTGGCATTAAAGAGGGTGCGCCTTTGCCGGAGGAGGAAGCGATTGAGTGCGTGTTGGAGCTGCTGGTAGTGGTTGGGCGTACTTTGGACGAGACCGTGCCAGATGGTGTCCTGTTGATGAATTCATTTGAGGCGCGGCTCAGAGATCTGTCTGGTGTCCACGTCAACGGACAGCATTACTACTCGAAGGAGCTTCGATCTACCATCAGCGATCTCTTGGACTGGCGGAGGGACGGCTGGAGATCCCTTCAGTTGAGGCGGACATAGGGGGAATCCCGTACGGAATTCTCCGACAGCCAGTCGCCTTCGCTGCGAATCTGAGACCTGAGGAATCCGCAACCTATTCGCGTGCAATTCGCATGAGAACTGACGTCCGTGTACTTTGCGGTACCTGTTGGCTGTGGCAGGGGTCCACTCTGTGCTGCACTCACACACAGTTTCTCAAGGGGAACATGGGACACAGGTCTCCGCTGCCGGGTCTTGCGCAAAAATGCAAAAAGAAAGCCGACAATGCAAGGAATGCATAGGGGGTCTGAGAGAAGCAGGGTGCGGTCCAGAAAGGGGCTCTTGACCTCTTGAAGCCTTGCATTCAGCGTAGAGTACTCGTAGTCCATAAATGAGCGCTTGTAAGCTTGCAGCCCCGCGTATCCAGTTGTGAGGATGAGCCCAAGTCGTGGGTTCTAATTGGATATGGGGCTTCGTGTTGGATTTCTTTGGCGCTTCGTGCGTTGGGTTTATGGGCCAAGACTGCAGTAGAACTTTCCCAACATGATTCCTTAATCTTTGATGGGCCTCCTAATCTCCTCATCATCCGCGAGGTTTAGGGTTTAGGGATGTTTAGGGTTTACGGTTTGGGGTTTAGTATCCCCAGGGTCCGACAACGTCCCTTGTTATAGCGCGCGCAGTATGAAGCAGATTGGAAGATGAAACTTTCAAATTTCTTAACCAGACTCCAACGCCTTGATTACGCAACTTGCAATGGTGACTAAGTTGGCATCGAATGACTACTCCCCAACACTGCTGGTGGTGGCCCGGTCATTTTAGTTCATAGCCTTCGGTTCAGATCTTGGGGTATGCCTTGAACCCAAAAGCACGATACACGCAGGATGTAATGTCAGAAGGGAGTGTGTCAGAAGTATCTTGAGAATCTGCTACTTTGGAGGGCCTACCGCAACCCAACATTCTTCAACGAAAAACCCTAACCCCTAAACATCCTAAATCCAAAGCTCCATACCTCCTAAATCCCAACCCCAAGTCCTTAATCACCAAAACCTCCCAAAATCTCCTAAGCCCCAAGTCCCAAACTCTACGCTTCCTAGCCCCGTCCCCACTGCTAAGCCCTCAGCCCTTGGTGCAGGACCGCATGGACTTCCATCTGCTCCTGAGAATGGCAGGCGTCCCAGGATGACAGGGAACCTCAAGAAACCACAGGTACTATAGTCTAAACTCCTCCGCACTACTGTAATTGCCTAGCAAGAAAAGTCTAAACTCCTTGCAGGGGGTTATACAGAGGATCATATAGGGGACTACTGCAGGGGAAACTAAGGGGGCTACTAGGAGTCAAGACTATAGCTCACATGAAGATGGAGAATCGAAAACGAGAGAGAACGGACAATTCAATGGACACTGGGGATTTATAGGGCTACATAGGGTTTGGGGTCTTGGGTTGAGGAGGTGCAGGGCCTTCAGGCAGTATTCTAGGACTTCAAGGGAGCATTGTTTGAATGATTCTAGGGCTGTGATGATCAGGTTGGGAGGCTATACAGTAGGGATCATTAAATCATTGCAGACATCATCGTTTTCGTTTTTTTTTTTTTTTTT